GGACCTTGAACATCCAATGCAATACTATAAGAAAATGACTGATGGTACTGGGAAACTATGGGGGGGAGGGGGATGGGATTAACAGTAGCAAATATCTGTCGGGGGATGGGAAAACACTTCTTATCTACAGGGTGCCTGAATGAAACATCATTGTACACCTAACCCCTAACTGTACCCCACAAAACCATAATAAAAAATACTGATTAATGAAAAAAAAAAAATAATAAATAAATAAATAAAAGTCTTAAGCAAAAACTGGTCATTGTGATAGTATTTATAATGCAGGAAACCAAAAAGCAATCAAAATATCCAACAGTAAGATATAATTTGGTAAATTTATCTGCAGTTTGAATTATATTTATCAAGATGGGAACATGCTCATGTGATAATATTAACTTGAAAAAACATACTCAGCATGCACAATAGTCTGATTTCAACACTGTAAAAAAAGGCAGTTAAAATCGGGGATGGGACACAAAATATTAAGCAGTAGAGTGACTACCTTCTTAGTATTTTTCTGCATTTTCTAATTTTCTATTGCACTATTTTTAAAATACAAATTTTGGAAATTGTACCTGGTGTGCGTATTTATTTTCTAAAGATACTCAAATCTTTAAAAATTATTTTCTAAAACAATTTTCTAAAATGCCATAATGACTAAAAACAGATATTTTGCATAAATGCAAGGATGATTCTATAAATTATGGAAACAGATAATGTAACCACTCTCTGCATACCTTCAGATTGTCTGGCAGTTCTGACCGCCCAGCATACCCAGGGTTCATTGTTATAAACACAGCACACGTGGGGTCAAGCTTCAGTTCCGTTCCTTCAAATATTAGTATGTCAGTGCCTGCATTAATACCTGTGGATAAGCAGGAACAAAATGACTTAGCAACACTACATGTTAATGCGACTTGCGCCACTCATTACCGCTCATATTTATTTTATTCTCACAAAATGCAAAGACAGACTAGACCATTACCTCTTTGGATAGTAAGGATTTGTTGAGCAACCACAGAAAGTACTTCCAAATCAATTCTATTAAACTCATCAAAGCACGCCCAGGCTCCACAAGATAACAGTCCCTGGGAGAAAAGAGTAATGAAAATTCTCAACTTTATCTGATTGAATATTGCATTGAAATGGTGCATTTTCACCTGATCTTTTCAAGGACTTAATATCCTATCAAGGAAATTGCTTATTCACCTTTATCTCTAAAGATAGCTTACTTTTTTTCATTACCAATTCATTATGCTACGTGAATAAAGAGTTTGATCAATTGGAAAAATTTCCAATTAATATTTTTCTACTTTCTGTATTTTTTTTAGCATTTAGATATTACCTATAATTTTAAAGCTTTTCTTACTTTCTATTTACAAGTTGATTTTGTTTGCTTTTTCCGTGAGGACCCTATGGAATGGGATATAATAGTCCTATAAATAAGATGACTTCTGCTGCGAGGGAAACTGCTCTTTGGTCTGCATACCCTAGTAGAAAACAAACATAGTTTGGGGGCCTGTCTGCAATCCTAAACCACAGCTACCCCACAGATATGAGCCATTAGGTCATAGGAAAAACTGGAATATCAAGCCTGAGTGGCTTCATCTGAATTCAGATTTACTTTTAAAAACATCAAACAATTCAATGTACCTTCTAAAAATTGTGTGTGTGTGTGTGTGTCCCTGAGGACATTGTATGTGCCAGGAATGATGCATGGCACTTTGTGTACATCTTTCATGTGAGGAAGCAAGGGCCACGCTACACGAGTTATCAGGTGATTCACACAGAGCCACACAGCTAACAGTAGATGACTCTGGATCTGTACAGTTCATTCTCCTCAACCATGTGAGACTGAACACAAACTTTGCACATGTCAAAGAACAGGACATTTTCATTTTTTAAAGAAGACTCTATAAATGACTTTGATCTCTAATGCATAATTAGAAATTATGCAAACAGAATCCTTAGGAAGTCAGGTATTCACACAGTTATACAAACTATGAGGTTCTTGATAGTAAGAGCTGTGTCTTTCTAATTTTGTACCTCCATTATTTGGCTGAATCCTAACACAAAGAAGGTATCCATATAATCAATAAATACTTATCAATAAGCAAATTTAATACTAAGTGTATTAATCTAAATAAATAATTTAAGAATATGATTTGTAGATTCAAACATGGAGCAATATATACCAGACATTTCTTTAGACATTTAGGAATACAATGACTATTCAAACTACATGTAGACGCCTTCAGTTTTGCTATTCATTTCTATGTATGTATGTTTTTGTCTTTATTTGCACTAATTTAGGGGCTACATGTGTGACTTTGTTCATGCATAGATTGCATAGTGGTGAAGACAGGGCTCTTACGGTCTCCATCACCTAAATAACATACACTGTACCCATTATGAAATTTCTTTTCCTACTACTAAAGATAGTGACCTCCAATCCATCCACATTACTGCAAAATATGTGATTTCATACCTTACTATGGCTGAATAGTATTCCATTGTGTGTATATATATATCACATTTTCTTTATCCATTCACCTGCTGAAGGACACTTAGGTTGAAAAAAAAGTCCACATCTTTGCAGTTGTGAATAGTGCTCATTACACCAAGGTTATAGATCATTACAAAGGATGAATTAAAATGTTTATTGGTCACTCGAATGTTTTTAAAAGATTTTATTAATTGCAATTTGACTTTTTAAAAGCTTTTATGTAGAGTAATTTTAAATCTCAGATCTGTCATAAAATGTGACCAGGTTATATTTCAGTCAGGAAGAGTTTACTGCATGGGTTAGGGTTGGCTTATTCTATTTTGTCAGTTTGTTCATTTTTTTAAACGTTAGTATTTTCTGGAGAAAATCTGGAAAAGTAAACATTATACAGTCTTTAAAAGATACTATGAAAATTATAGAAAAATATAAATAAATTATATAAATAAAATTTTTGGTTAAATTGTGCCAAGTTTTTTGTTTGTTTGTTTTGAGTTGGAATCTCACTGTTGCCCAAGCTGGAGTGCAGTGGCATGCTCAAGGCCACTGCAGCCTCAATTTGCTGGGCTCAGATGATCCTTCAGCCTCAGCCTTCCAAGAAGCTGGAATTACAGGCGTGTGCCACCATGCCCAGCTAATTTTTTGATTTATTTTAATTTATTGTAGAGATGAGGTGTCACCAAGTTGCCCAGGCTGGTCTCAAACCTGTGGCTCAGGCAATCCTCATCTCGGCCTCCCAAAGTGCTGATTATAGGCATGAGCCAACATGCCTAGCCTTCTACCTACCATTTTAAGAAATAACAAGCTACAGCAATAAACTGATAAAATGACCAGATGTACATCGGTTTATACAGGCAAGGACTTGGCATCTTTAATTCCACCTTTGGAAGTCATAGACTTCTAAGAGTGGAAAGCTAACTCAGAATGAAAAAACAGTATAACACTGATTTGATATTTATGAATTATATGAATGTGTAAAATTTTCATATGAATCCCCAAAATATGTACAACTATTATGTATAAATAAAAATAAATTTAAAAAAGAAAAACTAATAAAACTAGAATTTCAAGTTAACTGAAAAATTAACTAGACTGTGTTTATAAAAGTAAATGAATGAATCAAAATAAGTTCTTGATAACAAGATGTGCAGGTAAAGCTGTCTTTAGACTAACACCACCTTTACACGACATAGTGGTTCTCAAGCCCTCATCTGCCCCAGTGTATTTAAGGGACACTGGGTGTTCCTGCAGTAACAATGAAGCATTATAGCAGGGTCTTTGGAGGGAGGAACACTCCTCTCCTACCTACACAGGCTCTGGCTGCCAGCTCCCTTCCTTTGAGAATTGCTGAGGTAGTACTTTTAATTTTTACCTTGATTTAAGCTATAGTAAACCTGTTACGTGCATTCAATCACATTTCATGATAAATAACCTCCCCCCGATCAGTTACCCTATTGTAAAGAAATGAGGAGTCAATTCAAACCTTAAAGAATTTTCCCAAAGCCAAATAGTCCAATCCATCAGAGCAGTTGAAAACAACACATTGCTTGGCTACAGCTTTTGCTAAATCCTTGGTAGTTTCAGTCTTTCCAGTGCCAGCTGGACCCTCAGGTGCTCCTCCAAGGTGCAAGTGAAGGGCTCCAAATAAGGTTCTGAAATATAAGAAGCAGACAGTCTTTGTAGGATATCCCAAGAAGAGGAAGGGTTAAACTGAGAACCCAATTTGTCACTTCCTTTTTTAATAATGTCTTCCCTCCCACCTCTGAGAATCTCTGATAATCCATTACTTTGCCTGTTACTATACTTTGCCCCTGAATAGCTGTATATATCCTCAGTTCAGAACAAACTCACTTTTGAAATGTAATGCAGACTTCTGGTCAACAGAGATAATTCAACCGACCCTGAACCACTCAATTTCTCCATCACAAGCACATGAAAATGTAACACAAAACAAAGAATCTTGTAAAAACACATGGCCATGTTTGAAAGGATGAAAGGAAAATTGCTGACGAAGAGGTACTGCAAAGCTGGAGAAATGATTAGACACCACGAGTTTGATCAGGGAGCAGTCTACAAACACAAGTGCATCTATGCTCAGCTAAAAACAGAAAACAAGCCTCAGAGCTGAGCAGGGCAGGAGTTCAAATGGGTCCACCTGTATAGAGCTCAAAGCTGTGAAAGGTCAACTTGTCTGTAAACGGAAACAAAAATCACTTGAGCAGCCTGCTGGGGAGAGACGAAGAAGAGTCAATTATGGAAAAGACCAGAAAGCCCACACTTGATGCAGGCTCCATGAAAGCCTACATTGCTAATGGATAGAAAGAGGGCCCTGTGGGCACATTAATCCAAACTGAGAAGTGAACATGAAAATTTCGTTCTGGACCAGAGAACACTCCAGAGTCCTCTTCAGAGATAAATATGAAACCGCTCTCTACGGACACCTCTGCAACTGACAACAAGCAGGGTTGCATGGGGGAAACGATCCCTGGTGAAAGAAGCTCACAGCCACAACTGTATGGAGAGATGAGAGAAAGGAGGCAGACACGCTGCAGCACGAGCAGAGGACACAGGTTGGGGAGTTATGACACAAACGGCTCTCTTTGTGTTCTGGAGGTCTATTAAGAGATTTTACATAAGAAACACAACAGATATCAGAAAATTATGAGAAAATAAGAGAAACCAATTTTTTAAAAAGAGGCAACTTGGGAGTTCTAGCAATAAAGCATATAATCACTGGACTTTAAGAACTCAGTGAACAGGTTAAATAGCTGAATAAACATAAGAAAATGGAGAAGTATGCACTGAAAATTACTCAGAGAGATAGACTAAGAAAACCATCCAGAGAGATACAGAAATGGAGGAAACTATCCGAAGAGAAACAGGGAGTGAGGAAATCATCTAGAGACGAAAGAGGAAACTATCTGAAGAGATACTAAGATGGAAGAAACCATCCAGAGAGATACAGAGAGTGAGAAAACTATCCAGAGGGATAGAAAGATTGAGGAAACCATCCAGAGAGACATAGAGATTCAGAATACCATCCAGAGAGATTGCAGAAACCACCCAGAGAGATACAGAGATTGCGGAAACCACCCAGAGAGATATAGGGATGGAGGAAACCACCCAGAGAGAAAACAGAGATTTCCATCCATAGAGGCTGAAGAAACTCTCCAGAGAGATACAGAGATTGAGGAAGCCATCCAGAGAGATACAGAGACTGAATATAAGAAAAGTTAAGAGGCATAAAAGAAGGAAGGAAGAAACTGAAGAAGGAACATCTAAACAGCAATGGCTGAGAATTCTTCAGAACTCAAGAAAAACATGAATTGAAAAAGCCCCAAGTAGGATAAATAAAAACAAATATACATCTGGTAACTTTACAGTGAACATTTACAATAAAGAGAAAATCTTTTTTTTTTTACATTCTTGCTACCTTTATTAATTCCCTGTGTAACATTTGCTATTGAAAGCATCAACCAAAGGCCTGAGTTTCAATCTCAGATGAAACAGAAATAAAAATCTATGGGGAGTCTCTTTGTTTTCTGTTCAATTTTTTTTGTAAGCCTAAAACTACTCTAAAAATATATCATCTATTTACTGTGTAAAAATCTATTACAGAATTGACAGAATATTTATGAATATGCTGAACTGCATCCTGAAATCTTATCTACCATGAATTACTTAATTTCATCTGGATAGACAGGCTGTTCTGGAATTAAAATTTGCCAGGGAAAATTATTGCAAAATCTTGTAGCCATATAAATAAAGTAGGTCTTCATTGCTATAGACATGTACACATGGAAAAAAGTAGGGAAGGGCAATTATGATATTTCATTCACAATGGTTTGGAAGGATGTGGAAATGAGATACTTCCATGTGAAAGCACTATTAAACCAAGTAGGCTGTCAGCAAACGGAGACTAGGCATGTGATAAAATTCCTCTGACTTTTAGAAATTCTGACAAAAAAAATTCAAGGATTGGCATCCTGGAAAAGTTTGAAATACTAGTGTAAAGCACAGATAAATCTTAGTAGTAGGAATCTGGGAGACAGTTGTCCCTAGAGAGACTTTGAGGTATTGTTTTTTGTTGTTTTGTTTTTTAATTATTATTTTTATTTTAAAGACGTGGGGTACAATTCAGGGTTAGGTATACAAATGTTCATTGTGCAGCTACCCTTGTTGATGAGGTGTGCTCCCCCTCTCCCGGCAGATTCCCACTACTGCCAATCCCGCCCCCTTCCCTGGCAGTTTTCCACTACTGTCAATCCTTTTCTTATAGTATTACAGTAATTATTCAAGGTCCGCTTATGTGTGAGAACACGTGATACTCAGTTCTTTGTTTCTGTGATAGATCACTCAGTATTATAGACTCTAACAAAGTCTCCACCACCGGTTAACCGCATGCAGAAGATTAAAACAAGAACGCTACCTATCACCATACACAAAAATCAACTCTAAATGGATCAAAGAACTAAATGCAAAACCTCAAACTATAAGAACCTTAGAAAATGCAGGAGACACCCTTATGGAAATTGGAACTGGCAACCAATTCCTGGTAAAAATTCCCAGTGCCCATGCCATAAGAGATAAGATAGACAAGTGGGACCTCATCAAACTGACAAGCCTCTGCAAAGCCAAAGAAACCATCAAGAGAGTGGGGAGACAGCCCACAGACTGGAAAATAATATTTGGTAACTTTATGTCTGTCAAAGTCCTAACATCTAGGATCTACAAGAAACTCAAACACGCTGAAAAGAAAAACAAACAGCCCCATTACAAAGTGGGGAAAAGATATGGATAGACACTTCTCAAAAGAAGATACATGAGCAGCCAGCAGATACAGGAAAAAATGCTCAGCCTCACTAGTTTTCAAAGAAATGAAAATTAAAACCACACTGAGATACCACTTAACTCAAGTCAGGATGGCCATCAACAATAACTCAAAAAACAGCAGATGCTGGAGAGGATGTGGGGAAAAGGGAACATTTCTACACTGTTGGTGGGAGTGTAAATTAATACAACCTCTGTGGAAAACAGTGTGGCAATTCCTAAAAGATTTAGAAATTGACCTTTCATACGATCCCGCAATCCCCCTCCTGGAAATATACCCAGAGGAACTCAAATTGCCTAATGAAAAAGACACCTGCACATGCATGCTTATTGCAGCATTGTTCACAATAGCAAAAACATGGAAACAACCATGCTGCCCATAAAAAAAGAACTGGATTAAAAAAGTGGTACATATACACAATGGAATATCATGCAGCCATAAAGAAGGATAAAATAAAGAGAAAATCTTAAAAATACAGCAGAGAAAAGAAAATTACTTCCAAACGAATGGTACTTAGACGAACAGACCTCTCAGTAGTCACAGTGGAGGCCAGGAGAGGGATGTATTTAAAGGACTGAGGGAAGACTCCTGTTCATCTACACTTCTGCACCTAGTTAACCTAATATTTAATAATTGAGTCAAGATAAATAAAGAGGCATTTTTAGGCCAAGACTGATAGAGCTCACTACTTGCAGAGCCTCGCTGGAACTAAAAGGCTCTGCCTAGTAAAGGAAGGAAAACTAAACCAATAAAAGGCAGGGCAAGAAGCAATGGTAAGTAAAGAACATGAAAAACTTTTGGTAAATCTAGATAAATATTAACAGTAAAAAAATATGTAACCCTATATGAGCTAGGGCTCCTTCTGTCTCTGAGTTTGATTACAGTCCCCAGTTGATGACAATGAACACCAGATCATCTTGTTTTACAGAGAATGAAATCGGTTTGGCACATCACCTGCCATCAGGCACAAAGACTAGAGAGGAAGCCAGGGGAGAGGGTTTCTTTGGGAAAAGGCATTGATGTCCTGTGTTTTTATCCCTGTCTGTGTCTGTGTGGTGGAAGAGAGAGTAGCATGTGTCTCTCTTCTGCTCACTGAGGGCCTTTAGAAGCTCACAACACCATCTGCCTCCAGGAGTCTGTGGAGCACAGGAACAGAGAGTTGATTCATAACCTAGAATATTCCAAGTTGAGAGGACGCCTGGAGCTTCCTTCTCCCAACAGCAGAAGGAGAGGAAAGAGACAGTGAGAGAGAGGCACTCCTACTCCTACTGTGGCAAAACCAATGCGTATGTATCACTTGGCCAGACTCAGGTCCCACCAGGAGCCAAATTGGAGTCACATTGAAGGGGACCCTGTGCAGGATGCCCAGCAGGAGCCAGAAAGGGTCCCAACAGGGGGTCCATGTAGTGAGCCTCAGACAGGCTAAAGTGGAAGTCCCTGCAGCCAACCTGAGGAGGCATTTTCCATAGAGGAGAAACTAGCAACTTGCGGGGCTTCAGGGAACCCACACAAGCAGCCCTCGGGGGATCTGGCACATCTGGGCATGGGCCATTACCAAGACCTCACTAAGTAGCCAAGAGATGTTTGTCACACAAGACACTTGTTACACACAAACCCACCTCTCCCTTTCCTCCCGCTTCCCATCGCCCCCCAGTAGAGGAAATCAGATCAGTTACTGAAGGAGGAATGCCAGGATAGGATGGAAATGACAGTTAACTGACCACATATAGACACATCTTCCCAAATCCAGACTCGGAGACTGAGGCAGGCTTGAGCTAAAGGAAAAGGGAAGTTTTAAATTGGTGAGATATATTAACTTTG